CTCACACACACACACACATACGCACACACACGCGCGCGCACGCACGCACACACACACACACACGAGCGCGAACACACACGCACACACACACGCACACACACACGCACGCACGCACGCACACACACACGCGCGTGCACGCACGCACCCCCTCCCTACACACATGCACACACACACAAAGAGAGAGAGAGAGAGACTGCTGCTGCGCCGTCTGCAAAATTTCCGCACGCACGAGAAAAAAAACACGTGTTCGCAGCATCCGCGAGCATCCACCGAATCAGGAAGCCATCCAGGTGCGCGCGACATCGTCTGCGCGTTGCCATGGCGCCGAGAGCCGCGCAGAAATCCCGCCAGACGGCGCTCGAAATTAAATCGATCGTCGGCTCGGGTCGCTGCTGTACGTCGACGTTTTTTACGGAAAGCACGGGCGACAGCGGCGTGTTGCGTCATCGCAATCGGATCTGAGCGTAATTAACGATTTGCATTTTAAATTGCGGAATTTCGACCTGCCTTTCTCGCCATTGCAACGCAACTGACGCTAGCGCTCGCGATCTCGGCTGCGAATCATGAGTCGTCATGTGCACATTAGAGGAGAGGACCCGTTCTAACTCAACCCTCCGTCAATTAGCAGACGAGTGGCAGGTGCGCGTACGTGTGTGACATCAAGCTGAAAGACTCTTCTCTGTCTGTTCAACCTAAAATATTTTGTAATGATGTGTTTTTTCATCTCTTCTTTTCACCGATGATGCTGGTTTAAAATGTTTTGTAATGATGTGTTTTTTCATCTCTTGTTTTCACCGATGATGCTGGTTTAAAATGTTTTGTAATGATGTGTTTTTTCATCTCTTGTTTTCACCGATGATGCTGGTTTAAAATGGTTTGTAATGATGTGTTTATTCATCTGTTGTTTTCACCGATGATGCTGGTTTAAAATGGTTTGTAATGATGTGTTTATTCATCTGTTGTTTTGACCGATGATGCTGGTTTAAATGTTTTGTAATGATGTATTTTTTCATCTGTTGTTTTCACCGATGATGCCTTTTTCTCGTCTGCAGGTGCAGCCTGATGAGCACGTGATCGACCAAGGTGATGACGGGGACTACTTCTACGTCATCGAAAGGTGTGCAGTATCATTATAAATATTTTACGGATAGTTCGGGTTGATGAAATATTCGCAATAGATAATAGTTTTGGTAGTGTTATTATTGGTTGAACTGCTACTGCTACTAATACTACTAATAATGCGAATACTGCGAGAATAAATTCTTAAATCGCTTTAGGCGCTGCTGTACTAGCAGGTAGTGAAAGTGTACTGTTCTTGCAATAAATTAAAATAATCTAAATACTGTTACTCATAATCATATATCTACACGCTATATATCTAAACACCCACGCGCTAGAAAGTAATTCACGTGAATTAAAATTATCTCACTCTTGCAATAAATTAAAATAATCTAAATACTGTTACTCATAATCATATATCTGCACGCTACATATCTGAACGCCCATGCGCGACAAAGTAATTTACGTGAATTTCAAATTATTTTTGAGAAAATCCAGAAGATAAAACATTATTAAGAGATAATAATTACTACGGGGCGTGGTTTTTCTTCATGATCTTTCATTATCACTCCCGCAGCGGCACGTACGACATCTTTGTGAAGTTTGACGATGGAGAGAAGCTGGTGGGAGCGTACGATGGCAAGGGCAGCTTCGGCGAGCTAGCACTCATGTACAACATGCCACGCTCAGCCACCATCATCGCAACGTCCGACGGAACGCTGTGGGCCATGGTGCGCTTATACGTCGCGTAGTTCTCTCTTTGTCTCTCTCTCTCCTCTCTCCTCTCGTCTCTCTCTCTCATTTCCTTAGTTTCGGGCTCCCCCCGCTCTCATCTCTCTCTCGTCTCGCTTTCTCTCGCTCTCTCTCTCTCTCTCTCCTTCTCTCTTTCTCACTCTCCTCTCTCTCTCCCCTCGCTCTCTCTATCTCTTTCCCTCTCCCTCTCTCGCCCTCCCCATTTCTTTCTTTCTTCCTCCTCCTCTCTCTCTCTCCCTCTCTCGACCCCCTTTCTTCCTCTATTCCGTACTCCGTCCCTCCTCTCTCGCTCTTCTTCCTACTCTCTTCTGTCTCTTTTCACCATTTGCTCGCACTCTTTTCCTCTTTCTCTTTTCTCCTGTCCCTCTTTTCTCCTCTTTCTCCTGTCCCTCCCTTCTCCTCTTTCTCCTGTCTCCTTCTCCTCTCCTTCTCTTCTTCGCCCTCACATCTTCGTCTTCCCTCTTCCTCTCCTCTCTCTCTCTCTCTCTCTCACCCACCCTCTTTCTCCCTCTTTCTCACACCCGCCCTCTCTCTCTCTCTCACCCCCTCTCTCTCTCTCTCTCTCTCT